CGCCTTTGAGGACATTGGCTCTTGATTGAGAAAGTTACTGCTTTAATCTGTAGCTGGTTGTACCCTCAAATTGAAAGTCTCCTGGTTACCTAACATATAACAGTGATGCTTCATTAAAATTCACGTTTGCTTATTTATTTATACTTTATGCACACAAGATATGTACAGACGCGGACTTAATGCCATCAACATTATCTACCAGTCAACCTTTGTGTGTTTCAGAAAAGTTTAAGGTGCAGTGATTGTAAAATGAAAAAAAGAGGGATCATAGAAAAATCAACTTAACAATCAATATTACATAAAATACTGTACTTGGCATATAAAAAATAATACTTAATATAAATTGCAAAATGTACATACCGTAAAATAAACGTATTTTAATACACAATAAATATATACCCATATACTATTGGTTACCTTTGGTATTCGCGAGTTTTTCTTTTAAATGCGAAGAGAACCTTGATTTCGAAAGGCAGCGCGTTCTACAGAAGAATAGATTGGACAAATAAAGATGAGTGCATAAAACCAGAACGATAAGAATGCCACTGGAGAAGACGATTAGGCGTTGAGCGAAGTTTTTATGATAGGCAGAACAAAGATATTCAAAGTGTGATGGAGATAAGTAAGAAGGAGTAGAAGGAGAATCAAGAAAAGAATAAAGATAGAAAATGTCAACACAGGCCTTAATTACTTTTATAATGTTTCAAAAAAAATCAGAAAATGTTCCACTTCCATGTAAAGTCACGAGAGAAGAGGGGTGTAAGCGTTAAGCTAACACGGTGGGAGATATGTCTGGTAGAGTTTCTTTGCCGCTGCGAAGATTGAACTTCATGGAAGTTGTTGTCCCTTGAACTTCATGGTGGTTGCTGTGCGTGCGAGTCAGACACAAACCATCGTTAAAACGGCGCAAGCAAATAATAAGTGTACATAAAAACAAAACGTTTTGACTAATCATGTGGCAGGCCCGACCGTGATAGGACGCACACAGAACTAGCATGAAACGGAAGTTTTATATTTGTATTCCTCGGCGTTTCTGGTGATGGATGTGCTAATATCGGGGCATGCTTTTAATGGATTCCAGCGCCCCAGATACATTTCCACGCATTTTATGTTTCCATGGACAGCGGTTATCACTGAACAGTAACACCACCTGCCCACATGCCACCACCTCACAAGATTCTATATTTTATAGAAGAGTTTCGACCAGGAATGCGAGCGATGTAACTGCGAAAGGGTTTTATGTGAGCTTTGAGCACCCATACAATGTCGCTCACGCCCCATAAATGTTGATTTTTATATGCTCTACATAAAATTTAGTGGCACAAGTAGTTTTTACAACATGTCGGATAAGAAATGGAAGAGGAGTAACAAATGCTATAAAGTCTGCGGTAAAGTGAAATCGATAGCGTGCAGCTCTTGCGTGAACATTCCTTGTGCTTCAAAACACCAAAATTGTTTCACTGTTGTTTTTTACATATTTGATTAAATTTAGTGTTTCTCAAATTTTTGAGTGTCCGTAAAAAAACGAAGAGCAATAAAATTTTAAACGGAGAAAACTGATAATTGAATTATAATCAAAACTAGCGGCGGCGGCTTGGCTGCTTCACCCTAGAAAAGTGTCAATGATTTGTGTATTAATACTACTCACTTCATGAGCATGATAAAAACATCCGTGAAGATGTCTGTCATGTAAAGGGAAACTAAAGGTCTGCGAAGCCTATACATGTCCCACTGCTAGGCAAAGGCCTCCTCTATACAGAGAGTATCAGGGCATAGTCCACCACGCGGTCCCAATGCGGATTGGCGGACTGTACATATCTTCGCAAAATATTTTTTATTCATTTAAATAATTTTATGCAGGTTTCCTCACGATGTTTTCCTTCACCGCGGAGCGCGTGATAAGTAAGCACTTAAAGTTAAAAAGTTCATTGGTGCCGGCACCAGGGATCGAACTCAGGTTGCTCGAGTATATTGAACTAAAGGCGAGCGCACGGACACTGAGCTATCACGGCTCAAATCAAATATATACCTGATAAATCTGGACACAAATCAGAGCACTCTACATTATTTACAAAATCTCATTATATATTTCTTTTTAAAACATTGCCGCTACTGTATGATAACATTATCCTGTGTTGTAAGTACGTTTATTATTTCACGTGAACAAACACCCATTTCCGAAACAATTACCCGTGGGTCACACAAATAGCTGTCCCGGGCGGGAATCGAACTCAGCCGTAGCCACTCGCAGACAACTTTAACCCAATCGTAGCCAACTTTGGTAATTACAACACGGTCCTTGTTATTAGACTCTGGTAAACGATGTCAGATTATTACAATGCCGACTGATCTTCCGTTCCAGTTCAAAAGGTAAAAAATTAAACTTAATTTTGATAAGCTGTTGCTACTGCAATTTCAGTAAACATAGTGCACGTGGTATGATATTAGTATAGGTAGAAAGTACCATGTCGATTTCGCATGTTACTAGTAATGTTGTAAATACATATTTGTTATGAAAATTTATATCATTGGATGTTAAATAAATATTGGTAGCTTAAAACTAGTTGGCAAAATTATCTAATTGACTTTGCTCTGATATCTGTATCCAGCTCTGGCTGGAGTGCTTCACTTTAATTTTAAAAAGCCCCAAGATATTCTCCATAGAATTTTATTACACTGAACATAAACATATTTAAAAATATATTTTTGTTATTTAATTAAACTAATTTTCCCGCTTCATTTATAAAATATCTCTAAAAATTAATAAAATCTCCCTTCCCCTAGGGCCCCGTTAGGAGTCTATGGTTTGAAACCCAATGCGAGGCTTTCTATTTTATGGCTTTATTTCTTTCTAATTAAAGAAGGAACATTACTCCTATATTTTTTAATTTTGGCTTAAAAGCTAGGGGCTAATGTATAGTGGAGACATGTAGGATAAAACAACAGAACAAATATTATTACCACATATATTTTAATGCTACGATAAGACAACATAGTGTTGTTATTAGAGAGTAAAATATAACAAAAAATAATACCAATAAAATAATCAGTCAGTTGATACGAGCATTCTCAAAAGTTATCTTACAAATAACCTAAAATACATCTTTTAAGGTGATTTCTTAAGGGTGTATCTTTTAACGTGAATTTAAATTAAAGAAAGTACATATTGCTATAGGATTTGACTTAAAATAAATACCTTCCCGCCTTCCTCAACGTTTTAGAATATCATCATTTTATTCGTTTCAACAAACATTGATCATATAAATAGTTAAAGACACGATAGTGTGTACAAATGCATATTTTTATTGAGTTCTATATTAAATCACATCTTGATTATGAATCAACAATACTTAGAATAGGCATAATAAAACAAAATTTGTGATACACTTGACTCGTTAAACTTTAACGATCTTAGTTGGAGAGTAGTTAATACGGAGAGGACTGGGATGATTTACGCGAATAATGTTAGATACTTACATGGTTCATCAACATGTATGTTGGAAAATCTCGAGGTATCTGATTTTTTACTAAATAGCAAGGCAAAAAGATTCACTCTTGATATTATCACGAAAGCATTCCGCTGAAAGGTGAATTTGTATAAGAATAATAAAAAAAATGTCTTAAATTCCGATAATCCATTGCCCATTTTAATTTACGTCATCTCTTCGAATTTTCTTTAGTATTTTATTAAAAATGGTTAAACAGTATGGCACTTAAATTTTAGTCTTCATTAATGTATTGTACCGCAATGATATATATCATCAGTTTCTAAACTAAGGAATTGATTTAAAAGTCGCTCTCTTAAAGAATAGAGCAATTTTAGAGTTGGTGTTACAACACAAATCCACTAAGTCCATATTTCATTAGTATCCAAAACAGACCGTGCCTGTAAATTAAAAGAGGCGTTAGTACCCGATATTGAAATATTTGGTCGCTGTATGCCATTTTAAACTTAAAGTACATTAAACCTAACCTAACATACTTAAGCTACAAATGCATTTATATCAATTTGTTCATGTTAAGATATACCTTAGAAGTTTTGATCTAAGGTTATGAAATAATAAGGTTTACTCAGTTTATACGTAAATTAAATGGGGGATAGAATTTAATTAATTATGAAAAAAATGTTCATATTAAGGCCCATACAGATTTTTTTGTGTTCGTAAGTTATAAGCGGTGTAGTTAATTTTGTACAATATAATACTGATAGAAAAACATTCATTCATTCTGGGATTCAATTTAGAAATAGATAATAATTATATTGTATACGGCAATAACAAAATTCTAATGACAGTAAAGTTAGGATGACGTATGCTAATGTTTTACCTACAGATAGTTCAGTCTATCATTGTAAGCTTAACTTTAAATTCAGTACGCATAAACTACGAAATTTTACTATGCTATAAAATGCGACCTAGCACCGTAACTTATTCAATAAATTCAAGATTCATACGTATAATATTCTATTACAATTATTGCAAAAAACTCATTATATGTCCATAATAAATTTCGCGATAAGCAAGAAGTATACGCCGTTCGTATTAGTGTACATTAGGAAGCAACTGCAGTTTTATTTTCAAATTGATAATCTTACAGCAAGAACGTCACGAGTATAGTCGAATAAATGACGCAATGAATTGTTACTAAGTAGCTTGTTGTAAACTAGCTTTGGTTTTAATCCATTTCAATAATAGGAGATCACAATGTGCTTTATATTATTACAGTCACCGAATTTTTACTCTTCAACACAAATTTATTTTGAAACGCTTCAATATTATATTCAGGCCACACTAATGTCTATTTCTCTCCACCAACTAATTAATACATAATATTAGCTGTAACATATATTTGAGAAGCAAAAACTATGATTTCCTGCAAACGAATGCGGACAAGTTTTAATTACTCAAACTAATTCATAAGTTTTAATTTAAATCTAACGCTCCGAGGGCGGGTGAGTTTGCAACAAAACTCAAACAGCGTCTACGGGCTACCGCAGATTACAGCATGGTGTGCTTATTTGCTAAGATTTTTCTTCTCGTGAACCGCAGTGACATGAATCGCCGCTTCTTCTTGGTGCCGAGCTGAAGGAGAAGGTTCCTGGCTTCAGCTATTGTTGCAGCATCTGGACCATCGTCCATTCCAGAGATGAACCCGCTCTCCGGACGCGAAAGCGCCGGCGCGGTCGTCGGCAGTAGAGAGAACCAGCGATCTATCTTTGCACTCGAAGACAACTGGAAAAAAGGTTGAAGACGTCTTGAGACTAGCTCTTGCAATATCGAACTCGAAGTTATGAGGTATAAGGAATGAATAATAACTTAATTAAAAAAAGATTATATACCCATGATTTTGTTGTTACAGAAGTACAACTTCTTTAGCGTTTTTGTTTGTGAAAAAGACTATTGATAACGGACTAATTAAATAACTTGGAATTATAGGTAAATGGATGCAGGTGCCTCGGAATCGTGCTTCGTGGCAGTCTGTGGGGGAGGCCTATGTTCAGCAGTGGACTCAAACAGTCTGAAATGATGATGATGATGATGATAGGTAATTATCATGAAGATGTTATTGGTTTCCATAGTAGTACCGTGAAATTAGTCAGTTTGCGACCAACATCATGTCGCTTTTTGTCTGCCAGTTTGCGTACGCATCATACGAATTTAACTCATTTTTTTTTTCAAACACGTCAAAAGAAATATGTATATAAATAAAAATAAAATTAGGGCTTACATTCAATAAATTTATTTTTATTAATTTATTCGACGTTATTTCTTGGTTGGCTGAAACTGTTTTGAGTGTTTTGGAATCAAATCAGAAAAATGGAATATATGGACTTTGGTCAGTACCAAATGTGTTTTTCAATGTGACCGGAATATAGAAAAATAGTCGTAAGTCTTACGAAAGTCATGTCAAAGCAATAGTTATTTGATAATGTTTCATTTAAAATTTATGTTTTGTTTTTTTTCCAAGGTATTTTTATATGTTTTATATTTGTAGTCGACAGCACTTAGTCGTGTACTTAGGCCATATTAATTGAAATTAAAATAATTAAAGACAGTTGACAGTTGACCCTTTGGTCGTAAATTCCACTCCTCAATTTGTCTGAAAATTAAAGACATTTTGTGTCATTTAGGAAAATCGGGAGGAAAACTAGGTTAGCCCGGATCCCAGGACACTGATACACATTATCGGCGTTGGTTTTTTTAAACATAAATCTCTTTATTAAATAATTACCTCTATAACAATTCGTTGTTGATTAGTACATGCGGTAACCATTTTTAGCCAAGCTGCATATAAATCACTTACTTAGCCAGTGTGGCTTTCTAGGGAATTTCTTATATTGGAGCATAATATATTTTTTTCCTGCCGAAATATCCCAGTTACTCTATCATATTATCCTCACTTTTTCCTTTTCCTCTCATCCATTACATTGTAACAACAACCGGATTTATGTTATTAGTCTACTTACCGTAAAGTCAATTTTACTGGTCTATTTCTTTACTTACTATCTGTTTTATTCAACTTTGTGTTTGGCCAAACCATCAAGTCTTCCCTGATGGAGCCATTACAATAAATCGGAAAAGGAATAGTTAATTATCATGCATTTGAGTTTTGAGAGTAACGTTGAAAGTGATTAATATTGAAAGTAATTTCAATTAATACATTAGCCCTGAAATCATTAAGCCCTGAATTTTCTACGGACTTCTACACGGAGAATCTCGTAAAATGTGTTGCATAATCTCACTTTTTTTTGTTTATGCGAAAAGTTGTCAAACGCGCAGACGGTTCACCTGATGTTAAGTGAATACCGCCGCCCATGGACATCTGCCACCCGAGGGTGACAGATGCGTTGACAACCTTTTGAAAATTGGGCTCCGGCTACCTCACTCACCAGACGAAACGCGAAAGTATTTGTCATACTTCCACTTTACGCTGGTCTTCTGTAAGGTCGTGGTACTTACCTGGACGGGCCTGCCCATTCGTGCAACAGCCGAGGCTGCAGCGTGGCCCTACCACCGTAAAATTTTTCTTATACCTCTGTTTTCACATTGCTAAAATATGTTAAATTTTCAGGTTTTATTTGATAAAATATACGCTATTAATCGACACCATCTAAAATATTATTATAATAATGTATGTTGAAACTTAAACATATTTTATCAATGTCTGTATGAAAAACATTTCATATTAAGTTTTCAAATAACCTGAGTTGTTTATTTTAATTTTAATTGTAGCCTAATTGCAATCTGAATATTAAAGCTATAATTATTTTATTAACGCATCGTTCACTAATTTAATTTTTTTTGGTAGGCAGAATGTGAAAAGATTGTTTTATTGAAAATATAAATTGCTGCAAATATTACTGAAAATTGTCAATCGTGAGTAAATTAAACTCTATAACCAAAGTCGAAAACGGCGTAATCAAAATTTATATGTATAAAATATTTAATGCAACAAGATGTTGTCGTGTCAGATGAAAATTATCCTTGCCATAAATCATCAAATTACAAACTTATTTATATTATATTATATTATTATATTATTTAAATATATTTCAATAGATATAATTATCATATATACATATGAACAAATAATACTTAAGAACAATAAAACTTAAGAACAGTCTTTGTACATTTATGTTGCGCGCTTGAATGATTATTACATTTGGCATAAAGTTTACGCAAAAGAGTAGGTATATCAAAGAAATAAATATCGGTAGTAAAACATTGTCACAGAGCATGTTTCACAGGAGGTTTTGTTGCCAAATCCTATTATAAAATCATATCCACAATATTAGACTCTATAATAAAAATAACGCGCAAGAGAGCAAATTTTGAACATTGGGTGAATATACATAATACGTATAAATAACCTACTTGACACTTAATGTACTTTGACTACCGTATAATGTTAGTATATTCCACCTAAGGGCGGTTAAATTCATTGTCCAGGAGACTCTTACGACTACTCTCTTACGAATACTACTCGACGTAGTTACATCAGTAATTCTCCCCTCCGATCGGGTTCCCGCCTTGTCGTGACGGAGGGGCTTAGTAGCCGTGACTTGGTGACCCACGGCGAACCTAAGAGGAACACGCATTGGGTCGGCCTGAGAGGGCTGCTCCGAGTGGGCTCATTGAGCCCACTCTGAATGCGTGCTGGAGGGTGCAGGGGATAGGTTTTCTGCTACCGAGGAGGAGTCGCGGAGTTGGAGGAGTATCAGTATTGCGCTTTGCCACTCTCCCTATCCTCCACAACTCGGCGGGGCTGCACTGCTGATACAGTGGTGGCCGCGGGGGGAGAAGAGTGTCGTTGTTGTGGTATGCCGTTCTCCCTATCCTTCGCGGCCGGAGCGTGGTGACCGGCGGAGCCGGTACATTTTTGATTCATGTATTTATTATTGTTAGGTTGTATTATTGTTAGGTTGTATTTTTTTTTAATTGTAATATGGCTAGAAAATGACAATAGTTCTAGCACAGCTTGTGCTGCAAAGCTGCTAGAAGCCAGGAGTCTGAAGAACAGATTTAGACTCGTATGGTTTTAAATGCCGAATGTAACGCAGCTCAGAGAGGTGCTACGACAAAAGCAAGCGTGGTGGCTTTTACATACTGAGCATCACATAGCTCAAAGATCTGCTGAATCTATAGATCAAAGTTAAGCGCGTCGACTTTTGGATGAAGTGCGTCACGCAGTGCAAAGAGCTGCTGAAACTGTAGATCAGAGTCAAGTACGGTGGCTTTAAGATGCTGAGCATCACACAATTCAAAAAGCTATTGAAACTGTAGATAAAAGTCAAGAACGTCGACTTTTAGATGCTGAGTATCATACAGCTCAAAGAGCTGCTCAAACTGTAGATCAAAGTCAAGTACGGTGGCTTTAAGATGCTAAGCATCACACAATTCAAAAAGATATTGAAACTGTAGATAAAAGTCAAGAACGTCGACTTTTAGATGCTGAGTATCATACAGCTCAAAAAGCTGCTGAAACTGTAGATCAAAGTAAAGCGTGTCGCCTTTTGGATGCCGAGCGCCACGCATTTCAAAAGACTGATGAAACTATGTGCAAACTCGGTTATGTCCGCTTTTAGGTGATGAGCTATTAGGTTCGCCACTGATTATTGCAGAGGCCCATGAAGATTCACAAAAACGACATGTTTTAATTGCTGAACGGCAGTCAAAAGGTGATTTTATACCTAGTGATTATGAGTCTTTAATCGATTAGAGAGTCATCGATTAAAATATCCGTTAATGTAAAGTAAGGGGCTATAAGGCTATTATTTTAAAACGGCAAGTCAATCCTGTAACAGCAAGCCTATAACAGGATTGACCTTACCTAATAAAAAGTATCCTGCATGGATTTTAATACCTACTAAAACCTGATTCAAGAAAGTGATTTTAACTATTTCATGCTTCTAGCTTCGGCGTCGGGGTCGTGGTTCAAATCCCACACGAGACAACTATTTGTGTGACCCACATATAGTTGTTTCGCATCTGGGTGTTGATTTATGTTTGTAAAACGTCCTTACAACACTGGATAATGTTATCCTCAATTAAGGACAATGTTTTAAAACAAAAATGTAATACTACAGACAATAGTCCACTTTGTTTTATGTTGTCATGTACGTAAAAGTTGAGTTAAAAGCGAACCATTACCATACACACATACTATTAAATGAAAGCAAATTAAGAGTGGAGAACCACATTCAACCTCTTAGTTCATACTCCACCATCTCGAGTTCATACTCCAGTGCACCAAAATACAAATTTTAATAATATTAATTGCACTTTAAGAACCGACTAACAGTGTGCTTGGTGGTGAAAGAAAACATTTTTTTATGTGAGAAGGTGGCATGCGAGCTGCCGATTCACATGATGTTAAGTGATAACTCGCGCCCATTAACATTTGCAACACCCGTAGGGTTGCAGTTGCCACCTTTCAATAAAGGCCACGGATACCTCAACCCCCGGTTGAAACTCAGAAGTATACGACTTCCACTTTACGCCGGTTTTCTGTGAGGACGTGGTACCTCGGATGGATCTGTCCCTTGATCGACAGCGCACTGTTGCGCGGCGTTTTAGGAATATTAATAAAACATTTCGAAGATGTATGAAGTCTTTCAATCCGCAGTATGGTTCCGTGGCGGTACATCACTACACATAAGGCTATTGCCAAGCAGTGATTAATATAAGATATAGGCCGTTATTGTTGGCTATTGATGTCGAACTATAAAAAAAGCTATAAAAAAGAGGGCACATGGAAATAGTATGTTTCACCACAAAGCTCATATCATGTACCTACCACCATGATATGAGCTTTGCATTAACTCTTTTGACGACGCGATTGGCGTGTGGACTAGTGATCCTGCCTTCTGCGCCAGAGGGTGTGGGTTCGATCCCCACTACTGGAAAAATATTGTGTGATGAACAACGTGTTTTTCCAGTGTCTGGGTATTTATATATGTATAATATGTATTTTACCATTTACAAAAAAAGTATGTTTACCAGTTTACTAGTAACCTTTAGCTTGGGACTAGAGAACGTTGTGTAAAAAATGTGTCCGAATATATTTATTATTAACGTATCTTTTAATCTGTACCGATTATACAAACTTCCAAATAAAAAATATGAAATAAAAGATCAATTCACATCACATATCTATTTTATTTAAGTTCTGAATTGCACATTTAGATTTGAATATTTTTTATTCTAGTAGATTATGTTGAATCAGCTATTAAGTTTGATACACCAATTTAATATTCGATTAAAGATTATCATATGAAGATATTGATATTGATAAATACAGTTGGTATGTGATCGAAAAAAGGTTTTAATCGCTACACTACTACAAACGTTGCTGGCATTTTAACTCAATTAAATCGAATTATACCACCTTAATTTTATACGCATAGACCATTTCGCTTGGATTAAAATGTCAGCACTGTCTCATACTATTTATTTGAATACATGTTATCCATAAACATTTCGATGGGAAGATAGTTAAGTTTGTTTATTGAGAACCATAACATCTGTAACTGCGAAATACATGCAATATAAACACCGAGAATTATATTTGCTACTTTATTATTATGATTACAATTATTACGATGATAGTTTTATGGGCGGTAATACGACGCCATTAGACAAGAATAAATCGAGAAAAGTCAAATACAATATATTCTGAAATTCCAAATTCAACATTTGATTATAAATTGTAAACATTATTGTGCATCATTTACTATTATAATAGTCTGAAGAAGGTAATACAATAGAATTTACATTAAAAACGTAAATAGAGAAATAGTGAAGCTAAAAATATAGTAATATATAAAAATATTAAATAATACAGGAGAACAGTTACATACCAATGGAAGAACAAATAGTATTTTAAAAACGGCTTATAACTATGATTAATACATGGCTATTTCAGTTATTTATCAAGCAAGCTATGTGCACTACAACATTGATCGTATAATATAATAATTAACTTATTTTCTATTTTTATTTTATTCTAAACGGATACATTTATTTCGAGAAACATTTAGAGTGTTTTAAACTTTTTTTTTTAAATATTTTTACTACATTTTGGTTGAAGCGTGAGAAAGACTAAATACGTATATGCAATTTAATATTTGAATGAACAATAATATTTTTTTATTTGGTTATATTACTTCTGCGCAGTTCTTCCCAAATCATTTTGACATATTTGTTTGAAACCCTCTGTTATAAACCCTCCGATAAATCTCAGTTACATTGAGTCCGTTACATCGGACTTTTTGGCATATTATATATTTTGGCACATATACAAAAACCTAAACTTGTATTATAAAATTTTGATAGAGTTTATAACAAATATTTGAACAACTTAAAATGCCTTATAGACCATATTTATGTTTATATTGACCACAGTAACCACAATGAATACATATAACCATTCGTAAATTCGTAAAGATTTCGTATATTTTGAATAAAGCAAATGCACAAACATTTAAAAAAATAATAGATATTCGTATTTAAAGGTGCATCTATCGAGTACCATAAGCAGGGGTATTAATAGAGGTTTGTGGTTCATGAAAGCCGTAAAAGATTGCTTAGGGTCAATTTAATCCCGCAAGAGAATAATCGTAAAAAACTAACATATCTCTGACCACGATATGGTATAGATATGTAATGGAAACATTGCACTCAAATAAAGTATATGAGTACGGGACTAGAAAAAATCGTGATATGTAAAAAAAATTGTACAATAAACTACTTTAAGGAAAGCCACTGGTCAAACGACCTGACTATCAAATTGGCACCATCGAAAGATTCACGCCCTGGGACGTTTTCATTATTTTAAATAATTAAAAATAGTACATACGTATACATATTATAAAATTTATAACTCAACCATAACGATTATACAATACCTTTAAGAACTAAAATAACAAAAATAGGGTTGTATTAGGTAACTTGACTCGAATGTAATAAATTAAATCCGTTCACTTGGTCGTGTGCCTCGTCCACTGCGCGCGGAGTGCTGCCATGAGATCGCTCCTATTTGGCACCTTCTCGCTGGTGCTGCGCGTGATGGGAGCTGGTGGTTGGCTGGTGCCGGGTACTTGCAGCGAGTTGCCAGCGTTGGACGTTGTAGCCTTCTGGGCGTCCGGAACGTCTGCGGCGCTCTCGGATGGGCTGACCGGCACGATGATGCGCACGCGACCATCGTCACCCGTGGCCTTCAGCGTGGCATTGTGCGATAGCGGCATTATGTAGGGCATCCCATCCTCCGAACTGGAGTCAGAGGACGAATCCTTAGAGCTCGAGTCCAGGCTGTAGAGCGAGTTCTGCGACTGGCCGATGCTCATCGCTTGCGCAAGCCCGCCGCACTCGTCGCTGGAACCCGACGCACCTTTCGTCTGGTTGTTAAGCAGGCTGGCCAGGTCAGAGTTGCTGACGTGGCTGCTGATCGGCGGTATGTGGGGGAACGCGTTGCTGTTCTGGTAGAACTCTCTGTTGTCGTCCTCACCCTGACCGTTAAGGAACGGCAAGCTCTGGAACTTGGCGATGAGATAGTTCTGAATCTGATCGTTGGTCATGATCCCGAAGTCGGGCCCGTTGGCGTTCGCGCTAGATGTGGTCGGTGACGGGCTGAAGGATGGCCGTACATTGTTGTTCTGTACGTTTTGGTTCTGCTTCTCGGCCTTGCTGTTCTGGACGATGAAGTTGATCAGGTCGTCATCGTCGATCTGCTGGTTGCCGTTGGGCTCGATCTTGTCAAAGCCATTCAACGCCTCCGGCTTCTATATCAGGTTGCATTAAAAATGTCAGTTAATAATTTCGTGGAAAGCTAATGGTCTATATATCCAAACAGCAAAATGTTGAAAAAGCGGAAAAAAATAAAAACACTACTCACAATCATGGGAAATGCGGTTAACAAAAAACTAAGCGTGTCGTCAACACCTACGATTTAGTACGATGCATTAATTATATTTTGTAGCAACTTCTCTTACGACACAACACTTAAGATGGGTGCCACATCATTCCGTTTCCGGTTCATCAACTGTATTTCAAGAGTCACGATTAAGTTTTATTTTCAATATCGAACTGAAAATATTAAGTTAAAGAGTAATGAATGAGTTATCAATTCAAAAGGTTATCATTCGTGGTGACTGTGACTGCATACTTAATATTTGACTTCTTATACTATATTTCTAATTTCAAATTTCGTTGATGTGTTCCGGTATTACGTCGCGATGTAACATTCCCATTAATAGCACCTAACACCTATTTAAACAGATACTCACACAAAAACCACTTAACATGCTTGTTTGCAAAACCAGACGAAAAATTAACAAAACAACTAATGTGACGAAGGTACTTCGAAATAAAAATGTTATACAATTACATTGAGTAAATGGGGGCATGCTTGTGAAAACTAATATTAGCTATACACTTATTCATGAACTTTTTGTGAATTAAAATTTATGAATGGTTGCTTTCCTCTCCAAACCCAAAAACTATTTGACAGAGTGAATCATTTCCAATATTGCTATTACGTTCGCAATTTGCTTTAATAAAGAACAGATGACGTTTATTCACTTTTTAATTATATTGTATTATTGGATAGTTATAATGTATTGCAAACTAATCATAATTTTGTAAATCTATCTTAAGGACCTTGTTTTTTAGCAAATTATATTATTGCAAGTGCCTTTGAATTAATTACTAAAATAAGAGCGATGAATAACGAATACATTTTTTATCATAAATAAACACGAGACCACAACTTGGAAAATAGACTGATAAAAATAGAAAGCTCATAAACAAATTATCTCGAGGCCTTCGATATTGAGCGGGGTATGAAATAATTATTTATTTTTATACAAAGATTTTAAAGAATAAACAGACGAGTCTTAACTTGAAGTACCTAATATATTTTTTTCTACTAAAGCCAAGCATAACGCGCACTTAATAGTTTATTTCAAATGTAAAGATATTATTGAGAAGTGTTATAATGATAAGTAAAAGTCGATTAAGTTTCTATGTATTTTAGAATACTCTCAAGAGATGTGTCTGAGTAGCTCCGCAAGTCCAAAAATTTTGAACCAATTTGGACTTTTGTCTCGATTACGTAGATAAGAAAGGTGTATTTTCTTCGTTATTATATTATAATAAATCACTTACATAACATTTATTTGGTCATGACTACTTAACTCGTAAACGTGTGGTATATTTATATATATAGCCATTTTGCATATTAGTATATTATGTTAATTCATTCCCAATTCAAGACTTCCCATTCATGAGAAATTTGGTGATATAAGTGATTCTGTAGCGTAATTTTATTTTTGCTCTTCAAGTCCGAGCTGGTGCTTTGGTCAGTTTATTACATTTAAATGATAATAGAATAGATTTAATTTCGATTGTAGAATTTACTGTGTTGGTTTCTTATTAGTCACGTAAAGTGTCAAATGTTGATCTAATTATTTGGATTATTTGAATACCGAACTAGGTTTAAGTAATTAATTAATAATTTCAATTGATTGAATGAAACTGATTCTTTTCAAAATTATAATGATCCACCCTGATGTGTCTTCTCTCCCGTCTAATTTATTTAATGTATTGGGAATATGTATTTTTTATATAAGTATTTTTAAAATTTGATAAGATTATGAGATGACGATTATATAAAGAATGTATTCATCCAAATTTCCGGGTGCCGGGAACCATATGAATAAGACGCCATTTTGGTTGTCACTTTGACATATGACAAATGGCGCGCTCAAAACCGCTTTGCATTAACGACCTGCGACGGTCACGACTCACGCCTGTAACTGGGCAGTGGCTCATGGCAGTTGACGTTTATTGAAGTATATTATGCTTCTTTTAGAGAAAATGCGTTAGACTATCCATAAAATAAAGATTATTTCAATAAAAACTTATGACAGGCACTGAATTGCATGATTCCCCATTACCAACATAAATAAGTTAGTTCTTTTCATTCAATAATTTTATTTAATGTTTAAATAAGCACTGCAGTATAAACGAATAAAATACAAATATTTATAAAGAGCTCTGAGATTGGTTTACGCTGCTATATTTGAATAGTTGCATTAGGTTTCTCAAAGCAAATCGAAATGTTGACAAAATCACGTAAGATGCAAACGGCTTTGAAGTCTCTCAGAACATCCAGCAACTTGATAGTTGAGGAAACCCTTTAGCGTAGGGTACTGTTTCATTTCAGAGAAGAACACTGTAAGTTATATTTTAAAAAACTGCTTATAATACTAACGTTGTTAACTGCTTATAAAACTAACGTGTTATTACTTTTACGTTGTTTTAAAAAATGACATCAATTAGTGTGCATGTATGAGCACATATTTCTAAACAGTACATTGTTCTCTTACGAGTCAAGCAGAGGGTAAGCTCTAGGTCTAAAACTTGTTCGTCAATAATCTTTCAGCGTTTTAAGGAATATTGTTTCTTTTTAATACAAACTGATTGCTTAATATAGATGTGATTTAAATAGAAAAATTGTCAATACGATACAAATACAAATAAAGATAGTCGACAAGATTTTGTCGCTTTGAGGACAACGGATAATCAACTCAATTGGTTCGAGGATCTGGGTGAGTTACCCAATAGACGCGATTCGATTCTTGGATGCGCCGAAAACTTTTCGACAATTTCTCTATTAAACTCAAATTTTATTTTGAGAGCTGACTGGCACTAAAATAAAATATAATCATAAATGTAAGCTTAACATTTTTATTTTACGCTCCCTAATAAGATTATTTCAACCAAGCCATCACAGAAAGATAACATAAGCGTAGTGGATTGCTTTTTAATTACATTACTAAAACTTCGCAGCTCTTTTTCTAACTAAACAAATTTATTAACGCGTCTAATCGACCAAAAGAGGGTATTTGTCTTGTATTAACTGATGTTTGTGCTTTCAGTCCCGAGACTATTAAAGCTTCATCTGACGCAGAAAGAGGGTATTTATTGTTAATTCAAAAGTATACAGGTACATATTCAATTTAAATTAGGATAAAACATGCTCATACTTATCACGATTTAAAAGTATTTAATCGTCTTAATGAATAGGATTAAGAATTAATTAAAATAATTTTTCATCAAAATAATGTTTTAATTAGTCAAATTTTATATGAATATCAGAATCATATAACAGAATGAATTGTGATCATTCAAGTGACACAGTTAAGATCATTTTAAATTGACGGATCAGATCTGCACACATTTAATGCTAAATGATAGCAAGTTCGGTGGTACTGATGAAAATATGGTATCGTAGAATTTAAATGTAATAACGTCACTTTGTAACTTGAAGATCAAATGAAAACTACGCAAAGAAGAATGTAACGTGAACCATAAACGACTAACATTACATCCACGTAAAAATAAGGCAATACAGTTGCTAACAAAGGCTTCTAAGGGGTGCATAGTGTAAATTTGTAATACCTGTGGTAAGAGAGTCAGTTGCTGGGCGTTGATTGGACGAGTGTTGCCCTGCTCGCGTTCCTGAAGATGGGAGACCAGAGACGCGATGTGCTCCAATAGCTCTTTGTTGTGCACCAGCAGCTGGTGAGTGCGGGCCTGGAGAGAAGAGAGTCTCGTTACCAAAACCATCCCATATTGATTTTAGTTTCCAACTCCAAATTGATCGTCCACATTCAGATGTATTTCAGAAGGAATGATGTTGATATCGTTCAAGCTTACGAAGACTTTACTTCGAGCTTAGTGTTGTAGATATAATATGTAGTTGCCGCTGAATTAACACTTATGAAAAGCGAGGTAATGTCCAACTGGGGTATGGTTGCCTGGCCCACTGTTATTTATAATTGTTCAATGCAATCGCCATCCCACTGGTGTTGAATATGTGGGTGGAAGAGGTTACTAATACCGGATTAAAAATGTATATAAGAATATTAACTTAAAACATAAATAAGAAATGTTAGTGATAATGTAATTGAGAAACAGTTATTCGTCTCGCAAAAATATTAAATAGGGCCGGGCCATGGTTGACCTATTTGAAATAAAAAAAATGAAAATTAAACTAATTTCATTTTCAGAGTGTTAATATTTATAATTTAAATAATTTATTCTTGTATTACAAGAAAGTATAGTGAAAGAGGTGAAGAATTCGTGTTATTTTGCAAAGATAGGTATGTTAATAATTTTAATGCAATAGTTTAGCGAGAGGGACTCAATATTCTATATACTCTCTCAATATACTCGTATCTACATGTACGCAGACAAAGTTCTCGGCAAGGTCGGCGACATAAAATTATTCGTACCAAACTACGTCAATGTAAAATGTTGTTTGACGTCCTGGTTTCAGTTTCTTCTTTTGTTTCGTAAATAAATACGAAACGTATGTTACATATCCGTTCCCATAGAAAAGTGCAACTAAGCAGCGTCTTCTTCGCAACATCGCGACACAATCCCACGAGTCAAGTTTTGCTGAAACTATGTAAACGGATTACACATCCAGGCCGCGCTCACGTTCGTGGGAGCGTTGTCAGGCGACACTGCTATTTTCCACGACGGACAATATTCCATGGACGTCAGCTACGTCCATGGAAACGTTGCCAGTCGACACCGCTGCTTACCGTATTCAAGAACTTTGGTTAACGATTTATTGCAGTAAGACAGTCATTCTTGATCTATCATCGATCGGAATCAGACTTAGGTTAGTTTAGCTATAGTTTAGTTATAGTTTTAATTGTAAGCTCTAATAAATAAGTTCAAGCAAATTGTTTTTTTTTTTTGAGTCCTCCGACAGCGACTTCTATAATTCGTATTAATTGATACTATAAATATGTACTTAGTTTATATTTAGTTGGTCGCTTTGCAACCAACTTCATCAGATCGGTTTTACTCTCACATTTTTTTCCAAACGCGCCAAAAAATACATCAAAAAATATTTCCCTTACAGAAAGATAACATTATTCTGTGACATAAGGACGTTTTTCGTAAACAAATTTCGCGTGGATACTAAATGAGATGAGATTAATTTTGAATATCGTTTGATATATATCTTTAAACATATTAATTGCTTTTTAAAGTTATATTAATTGGAGTTTGGGAACTGACAATGAGTATCGAAAAATTAAAGTGCTCAAAAGTAGAAAAACTGTAATAGCTGTGAATTTGTAACTTTTGACGCACTTCATCGTTTAATCGGAGAACAAATATTAGGTCCTTAAATATGAAATTGGCCTTTTGTCGAACTGGCCACTTTGATCTCAAATATCTGTGGCTTTAAGTGGCGTTTGGCTAGGCATTCATAATTCAAATTTAGGCTTGTGTTTCGAATTTAGTGGTTCAATTGTTTTCATACTATCTGATTTTTACTAATTATTTTATGTGTTCGAATTTGTGATAATACACCGAAATTTTGACAAATTAGTAAACTTAAAATATCGCATTATAATGAAAACGTATAAGCACACGTTAGCCTTAGGGTTCGGTCCGAGTCACAAAACAATTCTAATTCATTTGAAAAAAATCTGAAAACAGAAATAGCTCGAAAAATAGGTACTGCATTAATTGAGCGTAGCACACCAACAAATACGCATTGATACATGCATATCATTGATCAACCGCCACAATAACAAGGGAATTTTGAATCGTATTGTTGAAAAATGGATCCTGTACGACAATCGACAATCGGAAAAGCTTATCACAATGGTTGAACCCAAGAGAACCGGCTAATTTCTGTTCAAGCGAAAGCAGACTAAATAAGGTACTGATGAGTGTTTGCTGTACCAGTCCCGATATCATATACTACAGCTGCTTAAGATGATTACTGATGGTCTGTATTGTCAATAACTGCAAAGGAAACCAGGACCAAAAAAGGAAAAACACCTATTCAACAACCGAGACTAATGGTCGACTACTCTAGCCCACTGCTGCTTCAGTACCTACGGTGGTAGGGCCCCTCAGCAGCCTCGGCTGTTGCACGAATGGGCAAGCTCGTCCGGGTTAGAATCGCGACCTCACAGAAGTCCGGTGTAAAGTGGGAGTATAATAATTTCGCGTATCATCTGGTGAGCTCCGTTGAGTGGTTGTCAAAGCATCTGGAACCGTTGGGTGTAGCAGATGTCCATGGGCGGCAGTATTCACTTAACATCAGGTGAACTGTCTGCTTGCTTGGCAACTTTTCACATAAAAAAGGACAACGCTAGAGCGGCTGCGATTGAAATAATGGGGCGGTCCGAACCGCTTTCAAAGATTGTTTCTTGCTCCTAATTTTTTTTCAGGAATGGAATCAGTGAAGTGCCTATAGGTAAATGGCGAAAGTATATAGGACACAGTTTTCTCTTAAGCTGACCTTACATAAACATTTCGCACCTTAGTTATCGAATTTAAGTAAATTAAAATCAACGCTAGTCGATATGATGGTCATGACCTTTTATTATGATTATGAAACGGCATCTCAGTCTGAAATAACTGCACTAGAATTTGGTGTACAGTGTATTTTATTTAACGTGCACTGTTAACTATCAAACGCAGAGCTGTATCGTCGTAAACTAGACATATCTACCGACTCGCGTGCAAATTACGAAGCCAGTATTGCGGTGAACCCGAATTAAATAATAAATTTTATTGCATTCGTTCCTTCAGTATTTGCAAATGGCAATGTGTCCACGTTCTTCGTGGATTTTTAAGGGAGCTTTGTATTCAAATTCAAATATCTTTGTTCATTACAATAGAAGCTAATACTAACTTATTGATTGTCACAAAACACTACTACCGATTCGTAAAACAAACCATTGGCCTGAGAAGAACCGGCGCGAGATACTCAGCGGGACATTTTTTTATCATAATTTGACAAATGTATACAATCATGTATAGAATGCCATTAGAATGAGCAATGACCCCAGAGCGATCAATTCATTTTCAGAGTGTGTTATCATTTAATTAATCACTAATATTGTAATAGCCTTTTACACAGTTTAATATAAATTGTATGGGTGTAACAACTGCTGGTAAACGTCAATAAATAAATAAATAAATAAAAATACACACAAACGTTGCTTTACAAGTTTTTTAAATTATCTATTATACGCAATCTAGATGAGGGCAGAATTATTTTATGTTTGTTCCTAGTATTTCTTTATATAGGTATATCTATAACAGTGGATAGATTCTGGCTGACGATGATGGTGCTTTTAGAATTGTTATATGTTTAAACTATTTCGAATAAATAATAAATTTGTAAGTTTTCAATCGAATTTATTTAATAAGAATTTATTAATTTCTTAATCGGGGATATTAACTCATTCGTTTTAACGAAATAAGTAATTATTAATCATTATTTATTTTTATAACTATCATCAGCTGGGTAAAAATATGAGCAAATTATATACCTAGATAATTTACTTAAGTAAAATTCCTGTTAATATAAATTAACTTATTTCAAATCATACAGTTCTATAGTACAAATAAGCTTCTAATTGCACAAATGGAACATTAATTCTCATCTGTTTAACTTGCAATATACTACAATTTCCCCGAAGACCTTGTTTATGAGATTAGTTGTGATCTAGGGTTGGGTAATTAGGATCGGAATAAATTATTCATGCTGAGGCCAATTTCAAAACTATTTCCGTATGTCCTCTATAGGAGCCTAATAAAAAATAGATATGTTTTTGAATAATACTTTGTACAGCGAAAAATTACGTACATAATATTTATATGGAATTAAGTGTATTTGTAAATATAATTTAACACTGCCGGTAAATTTCTTAACGTTATGTTTTGAGGGAAATATATTGATTTAAAGTATATGTATTTTCGGTGTTCTCCTTCAAAAAATCAACACATAATATTTGAATATAACTCATGCATGATACGTATAAAACTAAAAAAAATTGCCAGAGATCAACTAAAAATCTTTCAATAATGTAGTCGTATTTAAAACTCAATACTTCCCATTCAATAAAATGTGTATTGCAAAACTTTATTACTTGTTTAGAGACTTATAAAACAACCAAAGCCGAGGGCCGCTAATTAGTAAAGGAAAACAAAAATATCGAATTTTTTATCGTACTAGTTGGTGTCCGGTGCATTTCGATGCACCTAAAGATATTTTACGTGTAATCGTGTATCTATTCGACCTCTGATTCAAAAGATAAAAAACTAAAAAAACGCCACTAATCCGGCACTAACGTTACTGTCTATATTCGTCGGAGTGGTCATGTCGCCCTAATACATGTGCTAAGTTTAATATCAATCGGGCTAACAGTTTTTTAAGTTTTAGATGATCATACATACACAAATACATTCTCTTTTATCCTTAGTTACTATTATATACGCGAAGGTTTGTATGGATGGATGGATGTTTGTTACTCTTTCACGCAAAAACTATTGAGCAGACATTAATGAAACTTTAAGATATTTTATGACTTGTCCAAAATATAATTGTCAGCTAAGCAGGAAATAATTCAGCGGCCGCGCGGGCAAGGCCGCGGTTAGCAATTGTATAGATTGAATTCAGCTTGCGTTCGTACGATGCGGTTACCTGTGCCTCGCAGCGAGCTGCCTGCTCCGCGGCGAGCTGGTCCCTCAGGAGCAGCAGTTGCGCCACAGCCGCCTGCGTCTGCTGGGCTTGCTGCTCCAGCCGCTCTCGCAGCAGCTTCAGTTGGTGCTGGGCGCTCAGCGGGGTGGCCGCGTCCACCTCCGGCTCGTCGCCCACCTCCACTTTGGTCACGCACTCCGGCAAGTCCGGCAGATTGATGCTCGGAACTGACGCAGGTTGCTGCAAGCACGCTTTACGATGAAGGATTTCGATGACCCTTAGGCGCATTTGCCAAAGTGTTGGCTTAGGTGCCGCAGGTTTAGGCTCGTTTCCCACACGGGGCAACTTTTACTCGTGTGACACACGGATAATTGTCTCGGATCTGGGTATTTGTGTGAAATTTGTGTGTGTGAAACGTGCTCACAACGAAGGACAATGTTAGCCTACAGTAAGTATAATGTTAGCCTTTTAAAAAAAACAAAAAGAAACACAAGATTCCCGTAGACTGTGACACTTGACGTAGAAACTTAACAATCTGTAAAATTTTCTTATCGTTTACTCTAATCAATGTTCTTATAACATTGATAAATATATTACAAAGAGGCCATCATTTTCATATCAGAGACAGGATTGGAGCTTGTGTTTTATATCAGCCATGTATATAACAATGGCTCTGTAGGATGTGTATTCGTGAAATAACGAAAACAACTATTAATTTTATAACAAAATCTTTAATTTAACGGTGATATATCTGCTCTATATAAAGTGCTCACGATAAAAGTAACAGAGTAAAAACCTTTCTAAATAACACATCGTATATTAATTGAAGGAATTTAATTTTGAATTAAATGAAGGAAAACATCGTGAGGAAACCTGCATATTTTCAAAATAATAACAAAAAAAATGTATTTCGAGGATATGTGAAGTCCGCCAATCCGCAGTGGGGCCGCGTGGTGGACAATGACCTGATACCCTCTATGTACGGGAGGCCTTTGCCCAGCAGTGGGACATGTATAGGCTGTTACTTTACTTTTTTTATATTAATTTATTTTCCAAAATAGATACAATATCGCATTCGACGCGTTGAATAATACATTATTTTAATGCATAGAATTTTTATTATTTTCTCCGATTGAATGCTATACTGCGTAGTTCGTCCTCCTTTATTATGATAATTACTTACAAAGAAATATATTTATCTACATGCACACTTGAAATTAAATGGAAATTATAGAAACGTTGGCTGTTTACTTAATTCTCATATCTGTGGAATTTTAAACGCCATGAAAGTGTTTTACAAGTACTTCAATGTATTCTTTGTTTGTTTTAAAGAGAAACTAAAAAAAAATAACGATGCATAATGTATTCATAATGCGGTCATTAAGAAGATTTCTTTGATATTTGAATATTATCCATCTTAGCAACGTATAATTCGCAAATGGATGTTATACCATGTAATTGATTTTAATTATTAAGCGAGAAGCAAAGGTAGAGTAAGCTAAATTTTAAAAATAATTTGTATGATATATCCACTTTTAGCGTTCTACTCGTAGACAGAGAGTCCTTAAAACCGAGTTTGAAGTTAAAGCTGAAAATAATTTGAAGAATTTAAATTATCAATTTATGTAGAAAAGTAATATACATATTTTAATTAATGAGTCTCAATTAAATGACAAAAGACCTTTTTCTTCACTAAGGTCACACGTCTCAAGTGTTAAAAAGACTTAATCTTCTTTATGACTTCGATTTTGCGAGTTGTGAGATTTTCAATAAAATTTGGGGACGTGGAGGTAGGGCAAACATACTATCGTGATTACTGGTACGTGGTTCCTGAAATTCCGTACTTGATCCCATGGTCTGATTTTGATACTCTCGTTGTCCCGTGCGTTTTCATCGCCCCGCGAACACGTTGGGAACTAAAATCATAATTAAAAGCGACAAATCCCTGATAGCTTTCATTTAACAACGTGTGAAGTATATTCAGCCGTTCTAAAACTAGCGATATGATGCTTTATCGAGCGATGTATTCATGAAGCGCCGAGTAGTTTTCCTCTGAATGCCGTTACAAAAAAGCGGTTCGTCGCATGGCGCATAAAGAGCCGGAAGACGAAGCCGAGGCGCGTGACCTGAGTGTTGAGGGATGCATTCTAACGCCCCTGGCATATAGCGAAATACTACGGAAACATCTGCCGCGTTATGTGTAGCGACCTCCAAGGAGGTACAGGGGAGGGTTAAATTTCAGACAGCGTCCGGAATAGAACACGCGCACGGTAGTTAGTTTTCCAATTTCATTTTCAAACCGAGACTTTCTTGGTACCTAAAATTTTGTGTAGTTGGACGCTATGTTAAAAGGCACGCTTTTTTTGCTTCACCCAGAGAGTACAATATCATCTAAATAGCATTATATTAGACTTGTAAATTGAAGTTCTATTAAATAGCTTTTAAGTCTAAACTTAGAACACGAAATGATTTAATGTTAGTTTACATCGCGCATTTATTATTTCGTAGAGCGTAGAATTTAAAAGTTTAGTGGCGTACCTTAACCAATCATTCAATTTAATCAATTAAACGAATAGTCAACTAAAATTATTTAAAATAATTTCGCGCGTCATTGGTCGGTTAGAAATTATGGTATTAGCGCAATTACCCGAAAGTATAAAATACGTTTATCATATAGAGTTGACTATACATGTCATGCCTGTTGGCATAGCATGATAGGGAATTCTGGCGAATTTCCATTAAACGTTCCAATTTCAAAATGATCACTTGAAAGGTGAAGTCATTATAAGTGCTGCGATAAAGCCACAAGAATATCCACAAATAAACCCAAAGCGCACTATTCCGGAGAAACGATTTCGTCGAATTTCTGCGAATGATTGTATACCGGGTAACACTTAGACTTTATGTCTTAGTCGGCAATCATATTTCACTTCTATGGGGTATTTCTAAGCTTTTGAAACAAATATCGAAATTCGTTTAAAACTCACAGTCCCAGCTGAGGGATTGCGGATCAGTATATCTATCGGTACAAATACAAAACGGACGTGTTAAAAGCAAGTGGTAACAGGCTATTACTTTTAGCAACATGTGGAACATCGGTCAAGGCCTGGTCATTCATTTCCTTTCCTTACTGTGTGGTCGGTGCCAAATGTGATCGTGTTATTAGTGGTGTTGGCTAAGTCTAAACTCCACTGCTCAATTATTATCGAGAAATTTAATTGAAACCGCGATAATTTCCGTAAATATGGTATACTAGCCGATCCGGCAAACGTTGTTTTGTATACGTATTTATGAATGACTACTGCATCGTTTACAAGTTTTGTTTTTTTAGGGAATAGAAAAGCAAATTTTTTTTGAAAATTTTTTGTTTTTATTTGAATAAACGATTATACTACCGAGTCTGAACCTGTGTAAATTTGGGCACTTCTCAAAAAATCTCCCTGTATATATAACTAATCTATATATATATAGATTAGTTGTATATACTAGTTTCATAAAAATAATTAGAACTTACATTTATTTAAGAAAACCATATATTTAATTAACCATCAATATTTACACCAGGTATATCATTGACAATAGATTTACATTTCAAGCAAATGTGTGATGTGTTGTTAATTTCTCGATGGCCGACTGTGAAGAACACGATAATTTAACTTTATTTTTTAATTTTTCCAACGGAACCATGAAAGCACTACTGCAAATCCTTATGTGAAGTCAACAGAACTGACAATTTCGTCGTAATGTTTTCCGCGGAAGCTCCGTCGAGAACCAGAGACCTGTAGCGTAATTTAATCCAACATTGGCCTGTTTAAAATCTATTATAAGTGTCTTCCGACTTGCGAACAACGGGACTCGCGTTACTAAAGGCCAGCTGGGGAGGAGGAATCTGATCATTCGCTCATGCCGATGATATTCTATGTTCGATTTATTGTTACACTCTTGTATCTCACGTAGGTGGGGATTATTATGAGTGGCGTAATCTATTTCCAGTTACGTTATTGTTCCTATTTTTGCTGAGTTGGTATAAATGACGCCAGCCGTTTGATATCAGCCGGATGATGTTTCTCATGCTAAATCAATATTGGTATCTGAACTAAAGATATCTTCAATTGATTTTAATAATAGTTGAAGGTTAAAGGTTTCCATTACGATGGGTTCGGGCAATAAGGTCTTAGAGTTCAATCAGTACTTATATTCAATTTTACTTTACTTTTGTTCATTGTAACGGGCAACTATGAATAGTTTATCCCATTTTATTTTTGTTTTAAATTTTATGCACATATAAGCTAATTAATGAATGGTATGGTTGATTGAAAGTACTATATTTATTTCTCAAAATATTATTGACACTTTTCAACAACTGTTTGAATGTTAAAAATAATAGGATTAAAACTTTATAAACCATGCGACAAAACAAAAAGGTTTATTGAATTTAAATAAATTTCTTTTTCAATTTAAAAATATGCGTACATCATTTTACACTACAGCACTCGCCCTTACGAGTATTTACAAGTGTAAATTCTACTGTCTATACACGCTTTTATTTTCTAGTACCTGGCATTCACTCGTCTTTATTTCCTTGTTATCGCGTATACGCTTTTATATGACGCAACTGAATCATTGCAGGAAATTCTTGTGCGTTTTTTCTTTCACTCGAAATATTAGCCATGCGGTCATTGTTAAAAATAAATCTAATCGTCGTAGTAGGTCAGGGTGATTATTTAATTGTAAATGGTGAACATTAGTGTGCGAATGTTTATCGAAATATCCTGATCATGAGGCGATGCATTCATTTAGCTATTTATTCGTTATAGACGTAGATCAGATCTTATACAGCGTGTCGTTACCATCGCGACAATAAATGAACACACGTCTAACGCTACTTGCCAATAGTCATAAAAAAATATTAACGTTAAACAAAATCCATAATTAAAAAAAAATATTTTTCAAACAATCTAATTAAGTTAAAAAGAAACAAAATTTGTAACATCCTATACAACTCGCGCCACAGCGTCGCATTACAAGCCTCTCCTTCGAACAGTATGTTTTGTCTCTTTTAAATTCATTCAACCCATTCATATGCTTTGTGACCTTTACAAATGAACTTTGCGTTACAGTTTTATACGTAAGGGTGTTCTAAAATTGTTTGTTTTGGAAAATTTAATAACTCTGAAAATATTGATGTTTAAAGAATGTAAATGTTTAATACAATTTTAAAAAGTTATCCCCTATATGTGTGTTCATTTAATGTCGCGGTGGTAACGACACGCTGTATAAAACAACATGATGCAAACGTTTAAGGAACTCGTACCTGGCTTGTGCGTTTTCCCTCCTTTTTCGGCGGTGGCGGCAGGAGGTCCAAATGCTTCGGGCGTACCGCCGCCTTTTTCCCCTCACGGGGAGGCTCTTCGACGACCACCTTCGAAGTGGATGCCCCACCTGACTCCGACCCAGCGCACTCGGAGGCCGATTCTGATGGCATAGGGAGCTTGTGAAACTTAAACCTTAGACCAGTGGCTTTTTTATTCAATTTACCGGCAACATAATTTACATTTTACTTGACTAAGAAGCATGTGAAAATAAACTTTCGTTTAAGACCGCGTTTCATACGACCTGGCGGCGAGAGAAAGGAAACAAATAAAATGTTCGGCGGACGGCGTGTCGTAATACGGTGTATGCTAGTAGTGACGTTTAGTTTAAATATTTACTTGTTTCTCTATTACATTCAGTTTTGGCGGTGCTGTGAGAGTATTTACACGGGAGCTTTTATGTGCGGATGGATCGGTAGTAGAAAGTAAAACGGGAGTGTGGCTGTGGTTACGTTCCGGATCGTATTTGTGACCGATGTATTAAGAGATGTAACCAGGGATGAGTAACGAGTACTATTCACTATCACTACTACTCAGGGCTGCCAACTGAGAGACGGGAAGATTAAAGAAAAAAATATGTAGTCGCACGTATAGCAATGGAATTAAATTAGAAAATAATTAATGGAGTTTGTTTAAATTGAATTGCTTGAGTTTGAAACAAGCCGATATAAAAAAAATATAATTCAAGAGTAATTAAGCACTCGACGTTTGAGTGCCGCAAAAATGGAAAAAAGTGTTATAAAATCGTAGTAAAAGAAGGTTTTATATGACGGTGAAATAAATCTAGTTTAACATTAGATTTGATTTTAATTAGTGAATTGTGCATTGTTGTATATGGTTGCGTAAGCGAAAAATGATACGGTTAAATCGTATAAGGAGGGTGTTTTAATAGCAATCGTCGACAAATAATGATAATACTTTTTCACTTTTGTACTTACAATGCTTGCATTGCGATCATATCATGTTAGTATCTTGCTTTGGCAACCTTTTGAAGCCCCTAAACGCTCGTCGTCGTACCCTAGGCATAAATGCAATCCTATGTTGGGAATACGTTACACACCAAAAACTGAATGCCAACCCTACGGACGCAACGTTGAAACGGAAGAAGTAGTAATTGCGGGAACGCTGTGCGGCCATTTCGTCACATGTCACCAGGTTCCTCGTGAAGTTTAATGAAGTTGTAGGTTGAGTAAATCTCTTTTGTTTTGAATGTACTCGCCTCCTGTTCCATCGTTGTCGGTGCAGTTTAAGCTCGCGTAATTTGCTCTGACAACGAACGTTACCGCGTTGAAACCGAAGCGACGCGCGCGTAAACTTCTCGGCTGTCAGTGCTAATAAAAGCAATGAGTGCTGCACGCTCAGGATTGGTCGTGCGGGCCCGGCTGAGCGTGCTGTCACAGACAGGCGAGTGCAACCAACGGAGACTGGCATTACAAAACCGGCCGCCGTAAAACAATACATAAAGGCTAATTATAAGCGGGGTACGTGCGTGTCTCGAGTTAACACTGTCCCAGGTGTACCGGGCTACAGTGCGCGGGTTTTGTATTGTGCAATCAATTAGCGAACAAATGGAAACATCCACGGAGCATACGACCACTGCATTGCAGAGCGACATTTTTTTTGCCTTTGCTAATGTAGTCTGATTTTGCTATTGAAAAGTAACGGCTCTTTGTGATATAAAATCATACAAACAGATCATCAAGATCAAAGTACATCAATATGATCCAGAAAAGCTTATTTCTTATTTAAGGAGTTAGTACCCGATGGACCAAGCTTTGCTCGGTTTGTTTCTTTTTATTATCGAAAAGCCCTATTCAAGAAATAACGTTAATTTACTCCATTATAGAGCACTTCAATTTATAGATTTACTAAAAATAAGAAAAAAAGGATTATTAAGGATTGAGTATTATTGTAAAATATTTCTTATTACTTAATGCACTGCAGTGCAATGCCCACATTACTTTGAATAACTATATTCTCACTGGGAAATTGAAAAACAAACAAACTTTTACGCCATTTAATAACACTAATGGATTGAAATTTCTTTTTATGTTAATCATGGTTTAAAAAAGTGAGAGTATTTAAATAATTTAAAAAAATAGGTTCGGGAGATTCCGAACTCCTTTGCTTGGAATTAAACAACATTTCTGTAGTAATACGTATGCATGTTTCAAAGTGGCTAGAACTAACTTGAAGTAGTCAAGAAATGGATGTAAATTCCTTAGTTTTTGTTGAATTTTAAAGCCCTAGAGACACTATGCGCTATGGAATCTTTCCGGTAAAATGTTAAAAATAACGATGCCCTAAAATCCGGTCGGTTTGTAAAAGCACGAGCATAAGAGTAATATAGTATTTTGAACACAAGATTACACGTAGTCGCGATATCATAATCATGTTCGAAGCGACGCATATTTATAGCTTACTCTTAAAGCACGAAAATGCCCGTTGTCTGAAAATAAAATTTATTGCGCCGAGTGACGCTTGGGCCACTTTTATTAAAGGCAAAGATGAATTGCGTTGTACGGCTGCGTATCTGTGATACGCGAAAGAAAGCACTCTGTTTGTATTTCTGAACGTTCGTATGTTATTATTTCTAAACGTTTTATGGTGAACTGAAACTGGAGAAATCGTGTACCTTTCACAGGGTTAATGAATCAGAAAATTAAAAGCTCGACAGTCCAACAAACACAAAAACTACCTAGCGTCTTATGAAAATTGGAAATCAGGAAATGGAAATACATTTTTTCCCGACCCAGGGATTTAGTCGCGAGTTAATGCTACGATTGCTTCTATTTGTGAAATTGTTTCGTTTACATAAACTAGTTTGCAGTACGAGGTCAAAGTTTATGATTCCATGCATCGTCGCAGCAGTTGACCTTTTGTATCTTTTTATCCCAAACATATTTTGTATTTTGTAGATCCATACACGACATCATTAAATTGAATTCCACCCTGACTAATAGAAATTTTTCGCACGTGTTCCGAAACGGTGATAAAAAAATGAGTGGTCAATGAACGTTAGATTCTTTTTAATCATTCATTTTGTTAGATCCGATCCATAAACGCTATATCATGTGAACGCTCTACAATAACCGATATATGTCCTATTCTCAGCCCAGAATGAAAATATATAATAATAATTTAAAAATTACTTACTAGAAATAATTCTATTATAGGAACGACATAGGTTCTGTTATTTTAATCTAAGCTCGATTTTAGCTTTGACTAGTTTCAGCGAGTGTTTTGCGAATTACCGAAGCGAGTAGCTAAGTATGTGTCTTTATTCATGAATTTTGTACTCAATTTTGATTTTCCAGGATTCAATTCCAATTGTTATATTTTTTCTCTCCAAAGGTCTTCAAAACGAATTCTTTGGGTGTTAGTGAATCTGCAATGACGTATAGATTTTTGCGTAAGATTTATAGTAACTTTGTCGCATTTAGGTATTTACCGCAAATCACTTTTAGATTAACGGCTTTACGCCCGACTTCGTTCGCGGTCTGGTGTTGGGAAAAAACTAAGCCGTAAGAATGAGGTTATACGGCTTAGTTTTGCTTAAGCGCGGCCCGTTTAGTGCGCACATCTAGTCTCTTTCTACGAGCTCGTAACCACTCTATCCAACACCGACATGGCAGTACATAAAAGTACGTTAAATCGGGTAAACGCACGCCCATGAAAGTTCCGAATCGCATTACGGCATATAGTTTTAAAGTGCGGACATTAGCACTCGACTTTGCAAGTTAAATGGCCAGTAACGCTGTTATACTTGAGGCTGATTCAGTTACTTTGAAGAGATATTTTGCTTTGTTAATGGCACTTCTCGGTCTCGAGGCTCGCCGATATTACATGCATATTTCACTTTATCGATCGAAGTAATCAAATCAAATTATGCCATGCCCTTTGATATATAAACATTTGATTTTCCCTTTTTATTGTTCATGTCGTTTCATTACTGCCCCACGTATTACTCAAGCCGTCCGACGATATTTTAATATATATCTTATGCGAACCCTGGACATTATTCTAGAACTAAGTAATGGTATTCATATATACAATAAAACTTTTCATCGTTTAATTCATGTTATACATAATAAATTCGCCAGCACTTTCGCATTTTACGCACGCAGCCAAGCACACTACAGTAGCAGCGCGGGCGGATAGAAATTAAAGGTCATAATTTCGCTAACAAAAGGGCGAATAAACTTCAGAATATCCATTAATGACTAACACGTTCATTGATCAAAAGTATACGGCGAGGACATGTCGCAAAGCACTTTTGTAGATAGAACTTTAAAATGGTTCTTCAGCAGCATTTTCAAGTGGACGTGACGAAGGAGCAATCATCTCACCTGGCCCTAACGAGGTTGTAGGATTCCTTTACACAATGGGTCGGTACCTCAGATAGCGGAATGCTGCATAGTAAGGGCTCCCACCCCGTGTTAGGGTGGCCCAGTGGTGCACAAGTTGCTCGTGTAAGCGTCGGCAGGCGATCGATCAAACCTTTGGGTGGGGGGTCTTTGTAGCTGCAGGAGGCTGGCTCGTCGGCGGCGGAGGAGGTCGACGGCACCGGGTTGTCTTGGTTGTTGGCCTGCATCTTGTGGCACACCTCAAACGCCTGGCCCACGGTGCGGACGATCCTCATCGCTTGGCTCTGAGGAAGGAACAAGTCTTTGAGTCCACTTATTTAGCACCTCGACGGCCGAGGTTTACTCAGTTTTTTTTTTCTCACAAAAGAATGTCACAGTACGGATAACCCCTGGACGGATCTGGCCATTCGTGCAGCATTACTGGTGCGCGGCCATACCATGTTTATGTAATGTGTTTCCTTTACAGCGGTGATGCTTTCTAAAATTAATTTTTTACATAATATTCGAAAACTAGAGATAGTCTGCCTTTGCTATGGAAATTTATTTTTAAATTTTTAGCACTTCAGAAGATAATCTTTCATCAGTACTCAAACATCAGACGCTGCTGTGAGTTTGCCACAGTAAAATGAAAAAAAAAAAAAACGCAAATATTAATCACAATCATAATTAAGTAGCAACAAAAATATGCACTTAGTGCTTCTTTGTTTATTGAATACAATTTAATCGCACGGAACATTAGTAGACAAATTGTAGTGTGTAATTGTTTTCAATTTCAAAATTTCAAAATTGTTAATCATCACACTTCCGCTTGTTAACAAAATTTATTATCAAATCCTATCAACATTTTTCTTTCATTTGATCATCGATAGAGGTTAAAACATAAAATATTTAAAACCCATTCATATCATTGTTTTCCGCATACGTTATTTGGAAATACTTGCATTAACAAACGCATTTCTGTGTTTCTCAAGAACTTTCAAATCTTGCGCGAATGGGATTTTTTAATATGTAAAAGTGCCAAGCGTGCAGGTGGTTCACCTGATGTTAAGTGAATACCGCCGCCCATGGACATCTGCAACACCCGAGGCTTGCAGGTGCGTTGACAGCTTTTTGAAAATTGGGCTTCGGCTATCTTACCCACAAGACGAAACGCGAAAGTATTATACTTCCACTTGACGCCGGTCTTCTGTGAGGTCGTGGCACTTACCCGGACGATACTGCCCATTCGTGCAACAGCCAAGGCTGCTGCGTGGCCCTACCACCGTAAACCTCCATTTAATTCATACCTTTAAATATTCATATTGGTTTCATTGATGCAACGCTGTTAGTGTAACGGTCGCCTCCTTCGTTTCTCATGTCCATATTCCTTTTAGTTCTCGGGACTATCCAAACCTCCATCGGTCACAGGACCTGCGGAAATGGCTCCATACTCCGGGCCCGTTAGAAGAAGTTTCTACCAAAGCCACCACCGCTTATTTATTTTCGAAACGCGGTGGATGCGGTATTTTAAATCGACGCAAGAAAGAATTGCAACGTTTTATTAAATGAATCGTATAGGGGCATTCCGAAACGAAATCGAAAACACATTTTCTCAAGCGATTGGATTTAAAGGAAAATTTCTGCAGAGGTTAACCCTTCACGGAAGATTTAACTCAATGCGCTTTCATAGTTATCGGGTATTAAAAGGTTTAGTTTAGTAGTAAAAGCATATGATTAAAGTGTTTTAATAAAACTACTTTGATTGAAAACTATTTGATTGATAACTGAAAACAGCGGAAGACCTTAAATAAGGCAATTTAAAACTTGACTGATTCCTTAAGCTTTCCCAGTGTAAGTAACATTTTATAGCTAAATGATATAAATAGCATGTCATGATTTTTCTGGTGTTGTTAGTAATTGCAATCTAAACAAGTGGAATATAATTTAAAAACCTAAAAAACCATACTGCGTGTCTGTGTTCTTTTTTTTTTTTGTTAAATCCAGTGTCACTCTCACAGTAAATACGAATCTAACGCACCTCTCAAGTTAATATCCATCAAGCCGTTAAGGCTGCGGTGCGTGCCAAACAATTATACATACATACTCTCGAACATCATAACCCTCCTTCTTTCGTAGTCGGGTAAAAAGAACGGTCGACTATAACAGCCCGAGTGCCGCAAAAGCGATTCGTCTTAATAATAAACTATACAAAAATGTTCATGTATTGATTATAAAAACTCAAAGAAAGGACGTGTTATAATTTAAATATGATAAGTTGGTTCACCTAATGAGGTGGCGGTAATCTCAATCGCGAATCAGTGTAACAAACATGCTTTAGAAGACTGGCTTCTTTGACACTGTATTAATTCCTCGTACACGCCTGCCAGTTTGTGCAACAGAGGATGACACCTGTTGCGATGTCCTAACACATTTTAAAGAAATTATTATAATGAAAAACTATATCTTATGTCTTAACTAAAATTTGACAATGCCGATAACCCTGCTATTATTCTCGCAAGATTCCGTGAAATTTTATTTGATATGAATTACGTATACACTTAACCGAAAATCCTGACGACTATATACTATGTGAGAACTTTAAAGTATGCCGAGACGCTCAAATAACATACGTTTACATTTTAGTATATGAACGAATATCATTTTACTACTAAAATTAGAAGTAGGACCATAAACTAATTGTTCTTTAATTTCATAATTACTAAATGCAGTATAATTTGTGAATAAAAACGATAAAAAAAATTACATGAAATATATCACGATTTGTAAAGTGTTTTTCTCTGCTAACAACGAGCGTTCGTGCTATGTCCGTGAACAAACACTTGACAACGTGTGGTTTCGGAATGAAATAAATTCCATTGGTTTATTGTGTAACGTGTTTACCTGTAAATATTTATAATGGATCTGGCGTCAAGGGTCATATTAAATGCAAAATTAAACGTATATAACATAAAATTCTGAATACGATTTATGTACTACCTTTTTTCTTTTTTTTCTTTTGTTTTTTCAAAACATAATTATTTAATATAGGTGCAAACTTTTAATTGTTTCTTTATGTATGTTACAATATTCTTTTAAATAAGTACTTAATAGCTGTAGGTTTTCCTAATAAAATAAAATGAAAAAATTAAAACTAGGCATGCGGAAAGAAGTGAGAAGTAAAAAGTTTAAAATTTATTGTGTTTCTTAAGTTGACCACTAACTCGTATTCGTTCCTCACGTAGCACGGCTGAGTCATTAGCCATTTATGACGATAGTTCAGTTTCTTTATGTTAGTTGAGGGCTGTTTGGATTCCAGAAATGTCTATAGTTTTTGAGTTTTACACTCTTCGAGACGCTTTCAATATTTCAAGTACGGTTCACTGAAGTAGGACCGATTTCCATTATCGTTAATTGCGAATACTGCAAGATTTAAATTAGGTTCCATACGGCCCATAGGGGTGATTTTTATCTACGCGCTAGAAACCTAACACCAAAAACCGGCACATGAAGAAATAAGTTTGTTTTGTCGGTACGAGTAGCACGTGAAACGTGCACTTTTGTACGCATCAAATAATTTTCGCATTTGTAATATCTCCACGACGGCTTCGGGATGCAAACAACCTTTCGCTTCTGCATTTTGAGTGAGTGCATTTAACGCATCGGACGTGGATTAGACAACCCCGTTATGGTCAAAGAAAAACTTAGTAGTTTCTCAACCAGCTTCAAAGCTTTGCCCAAAGCTTTAAACTTTCATCTATATGCAACGAATCCTGCTTGATCCTCATGAAATGCAAATACAAGAAGGAACTCCTTTCTTTACCTTTCAACAAAGGAACGCTCATGGAGGTTCGAACAGATTGTGTGCTTTTAAAATACAATTTTATAAATAAAAATCTTTGCTATGCTCTGGTCTATATTCCGCCTAGGTTCGATCGGCACAAGTGAGTCATTTTTAATGGGTTTGGCTAGGTTTTTTATGACCATCCGTCTGCATGACGTCAACACTCCTTTGGAACAAATAATCCCGAAGCCAATGGCTTAGCAACTGCAACACTTTCTTAGCTTACGTTTGCGTTTCTTAAAGTGTGTAAGATGATCGCTAGGTTATCTTCAATAGCTCAGCAACTGTGATAATGAGTCATCATGATCATTATAATTATAATCATCATCATCATCATTTCAGTCTGCTTTGAAGTCTTCACTGCTGAACATAGGCTGAATGAAGATTGACAATGAAGCAGGACCCTGAGCCACTTGCATCCATTGACTTCTCACAAATGCATAGGTCGTTATCTCATCTACTAGCGGGTCATCCTACACTACAATGGCCAATACTAGGATGCCACTCGAAAACTTTTCTTCCCAATCGCTTAACGGTTTATCTTTTGAGCTATGTCGGTGTCGGTCACCTTCCTTCTACTGCGGATGAACCACGCAGAGAAATTGCGGGTGTAACCCGCTCCATAACTCGCTGAACGAATTTTAATTTCTTCATTCGGTCAGCAATGAAGGACTTTAGTTCTGTAAGTAGGAAATTTTAGTTCCGTAGGTATCACTAGCAACACACATTTAGGAATATTCGACGAAAAGGAATGCCGAAGTTTCGATTGATCTCTGCGTCGAAGTTGGACTTATCTAACCGGACTGAATGCGCTCTGTAAACTTTGTTTCTGTAAACTCGTCAACAACTTCCAGAACAGTGCTCCCATTACATGATCTTCGACTTTTCCATGTCCATCTTAAGCCAGGCCCCTTTCCCAGCAAGGAGAATGACTGTTTAGGTCATTAAGAATAGCCCTCCAGCGATTTTGCCATGATGGCTACATCGTCGGCAAATCGAAGATGGGTAATGTGTTTGCCATTAATGTTAGTACCACGTTCTTTTAGCTCATAAGCTTAAAAACATCTTCCGATGCAGCGGTGAAGAGTTGAAGAAGAATGGTTCATCATTTCATGATATTAAAAAAAAAGTTAAGTATCAGCCTATACATGTCCCACTGCTGGGCAAAGGCCTCTTCTGTACAGAGGGTATCAGGGCATAGTCCTCTACGCGGTCCCACTGCGGATTGGCGGACTTCACATATATTCCAAATATTTTTTTTATTATTATTTTCGAAAATATGCAGGTTTCCTCACGATGTTTTCCTTCACCGCTGAGCACTTGATAATTCAGCACTTGAAATTAACAATTTCATTGGTGCTCTAATATATAGAATTAAAGACGAGTGCCCGGACACTGGGCTATCACGGCTCTTCCATGATATTCCTGATATTAAATTTAAGGTGCTGCTGCGATGCTTTACTC